TGGCAGCCCTGGTGACCTTATCTCCCAAGCCAGCACCGGACCGATGTCCTCCCTATTCATTCTCCTTGGCTAGATTCATTTTGCCTCCAAGCGGCACCAAGCAGAAGCAGTTTTTTAGTTCAGAGGAGAGTGCACACAGACAACTTCTCACTTCAGCTGTGAGGTTTTCCCTGCACCTCAAGAGATCCCACAGTTTTTGTTTTGATAAACAAGATGCCACCTACCATCTGCCATCTCCCTTGCCTCTGTCAGGAAGTGCAGGCTGGAGAATTCTCCCAACTGGAAGAGTCTCAGCTGTCTCCTCACTTCAGCATTACCCTTTCGTGGCGTCTTTAGAGGTCTGTCCGCAAGCTCTGACGTGTTAGTGTTGAAAAGAAACTCTGACAGACCCGAAGGTTCAACCTTGAAGATTTAGGATCGATTTTGCTTTTAAAACTCTTTTTAAACTCGACAACAAAGCAGTTTCATCTTCTTTTCCTACTTCTAAGCTGGGTGCTTTTTCCAGGACTTGACAGTCAGGTTCAATTTGTCCTCCTCGCACACGTTATCACAAGTAAGAGAGATCCCACCAGCCAAACACCAATTCAAGCCTCCCAAGCAACTCTTTCCTCCTTTCATACGTATGAGATGTAAGAACAGCTCAGCAGAGTTCTTTCAGGATGAAAGCTTTTCCTCCTGGTTGTCACCCGTAGAGATAAGCCCCGGAGCCAGTGATGCTCCAGTGGGATTTGCCCTTTTCTGGGGATAAAAAGGGATGTGATGCTTCCTCTGGAACACGCCATCAAGAGCTCAGGTTCATCTGGGGCCGTGTGTGTTGCAGGACCATTCACCCACCCAGCTGATTCCCGTGTAGATAACTTGCAGACTCTTGAGCCAGGTGAGATGATTTGCAGCACAGCTTTAGCTGGTGGCAGCAGAGTCATTATGAGACTGCCATTACAGTTACAGCGTTAGCAAGAAATCATGCCAAAGGCTGGCTGTGATCATGTAAATAGCTGATGGAGGAGTGCAGGGGTTATAATTAGCTTGTGCTGGAGGTGGGGAAGACACCTGAGAAAAGATGCTCCTGCCCGTGTGGGAGCATAATCCTTGCCAGGAGAGACACAGGGGCCAGGCACAGCTCCTGCCCTGCAAAGCAGAAGTGTTGGACTGTGTGGGGCAGAGCTGATGGCTGCTGAGCTGCAGCCAGCTTGATTTCTGTGCTAGGCAATGCTTAGGAAATAGAATCAACACATCAAATGATATGTCATGTAAGTTTGCCATGTCAAGGAAAACAGCCCGAGGCCCTTCTTCCCATTTGCTGCTACAACAGCCAGACAACCTGGCCCCGAAATTTATTCTGGTCTTTAATCAGGCAAGCTCCCTGTGATCTCTGAGGTTGGGCTTCACAGGTTTGGAAAGGGATTATATGGTTTTCTACAAGGAAGGCGCTTGCCCACTGTTCTTGAGGCCTGTGGTCACTGTGAGAGTCACACACGTTGTGCACTGCCTGCTGAAAGAGTGGAAATGTTCTCATTTGCCCCAGTAGTAGCTGTGTGATAAACATCCAGTGTAGCTGCTTCAGAGCCATTACTCATGCTAGGTTTCCTTCTCTATACACAAAAGCAGATGCTATCCAGCACCCAGATGACCCCGAGTGCTGCTTTCATCCTGTGCTACGTTTGCTTTATTATTTTTACCCAGTCTCTTTGTGCTGAGGTTTATCCTTCCCCATGACAGTGTCGCTCCAAGAACAAAGCTGATCCTCCACAAATCAGGCACAGTGATGCAAGGTCACTTCAACTCTTCATTTTTGTGCCCCAATTTAGGGCACAAACACAATGCTCAAGGGACCGGAGTGAGATGTCCCCTCCGCGGTCACATCACGATTCCCTTTCCAACTCAAGCAGCTATTTCACACGTTTCTTTTTACTTAGGGTGTTGTGAGATGCCAGTTTTGCCTTTAGGAAAGAAGAGCAACCTGAATGTGTGTTCTGCTGATGCAGAGTCCTGCCACTGCCAGCTGCAGGAGGAGCAGGTCCATCACAGTGCTTGTGAAAGCCTCCGTTTCAGCTCCTCAGGACCCCAAGCCATTCAGGGCTCTCAAATGAACACACTTTCCAGGAGAGAAGGGACATAAAACTAGGTATGAGCCCAGGTTTAAAAAGCAAACAAACCCTTAGCAGGCTTCTAGGCCAACGTGCAATTTCTCTGGCAGGCAATATGGTTTTCTTGTATGTATAATAAACCCCAGTAATCAGCATTGCTCCGAGCTGCCGCAACCCACTCTCTCCCGTGGTGCAGCCCTGGTCGCTCTCACTGATGTGTGCTATTTCTGAACTAAAGCATAAGGTTTATCATCCCTGCTGTTCTACCCTGCAAGCAGGAGTGAAAAAAGGTCGACTACTGTGTTCAGGCAGCATCAAATTACTGTAAAACAAGTGAGATACTGCAGTGATATATGGGGAATCTCAGCATCTTCAATTCTCTTTCAGGGTTTTATTATAAATGGGTCACATTCTTAACAGAAACACGAGCCATCAACTCACGCGTCCCTTCCAAGTTATTTTAAGGTATGGTCCTTTCCAACCCTAACCATTCTGGGATTCCCTGATGTGCAAATGAAACTGGATGTGCCATGGAGCACCTTTGTCTGAGCTATGTGATGAAGAGTTCAGTGTCATAAACAAGCTTCCAGGCTGTCTTTGGGCATTGTATGATAAAAAAGGCAATGTGTGCACATTAACATGGACGATCAGTAAGTGTCACACATGGGCTGGGCGTGTGGGAGGAATTGGGCACCTCTTAATCACTTTTCTTAGTCTCCTAAATCTGAGCGGGAGATACTCAAAACCCCACTGCTATAACACCAACTGCCTGAGCAGCGTTGCCTTTGTCTACACGAACCAATTGCTCAGATAATACAAGCCCAGTGTCAGTCCTTCCTGTCAGAGAGGGCATGAACCTTTATCTTTCCAAGCTGAAAGCAAGCCATTCAATAGATCTGCATCTATAGACAGCACCACTCCTTTCATCCATCCATCCATCGGAATGTGTGTACCTGTCTGCTGCTGAGACACAGATACAGCGCTCACCATAACAGCTCAACTAATTGTGCAGCTGCATCACTTGGGGTTTGGTCTGTTTTTAATTACTCCTGAATTCAGACAAGGATGATGACAGGGAGATGCAGCCCACTTTTAGACGATGCAAAGGGTAAGAGGGGGATGGCATCCTAAAGCAAAGGTGAGGTGGGAGGCACAATGTAGTAAGTGTGGGAGTAAATTAAAGACCAGGAGCATGGACTTTTAGCAGCAGGTGAGCTGAGGGAGTTAAGAGGTGATGGCTAACTGCATCTCATCTCCTGTTAACCTGCATCCTTTAGGTACCAGCTGACCGCCTCGCACAGTCCCCACACTGATGTCTACAGTGCCATGAGATGCTGTTAGCCCTAAGAGTGGCACATCAGCCTGTAACCCCATAGCCCTGCCAGCCATGACCTATGCAGATCGCAGTTTCACCCTCTCCAGGGCTAATGGCAGCACCAGGATCTTGTCCCTGAAGCCATCCAGAAGCAGGAGGCTTCACGTGGCAGGGGCCTGGTGGCAAATTGCAGAAGCTCTCACAATAATGAGAAAGCAGCTTATTTCTTACCAATTATTTGCCAAACAACATGTAATTAAATAGTGCAGAACTGTCTACGATGCATCTTTGGGTCTTTAGGCCATTTGCTTCTTTTCTCTCCTGTTTGTGGCACACTCCTACAGCCCTTCAAGGCTACTGCACACTGTAGAGCAGTGGAGGAGCAGAGTGATAATTGAACAATTAACAAGTGATGTCATAAAACAATGTACTTAAAATGCATAATTAAAAGAAGTGAACCACAAAAATGTACAACAGCATACAGGAAAAAGCACACACACTGTAATGCTGACAATAAGACTCAAGTAGGAACTGAAATACGCAATTTAAAAGGGGAGAAAAATAACAGCAGAGTGGTTAAACAAAGATGTGGCATAAACTAGAAGCATCTCTGTGATTTGCCAAAAAATATAATGATGTTGTAAAAGACCTGTTCTCTGAAGTTAACAAGTTTGGACCATAAAACAGTCCTTTGGTGGCTCCCCGTGTCATTATTTGCTACCAAGACGCTGCACTGATGGGCTCAGTGGGATCGCTGGATCCAGTGTTAGATCAGTAAGCAGGAAAGCAGAGTTCCCACCAGATTTCCTGCCTGGAGAGCTGTTAGGATTCGTGCTAGTTCTTTAAAGAGCAGAACTGTGTACAACACTGCACTCCAAATGACCCCGTTAGGAATATAATCTTCTGCTACAAATGAGATGTTTGGGGAAAAGAAACATCGGAAAGCCAAAAGCAAAAAGAGAAAGCCAACACAGGAGGCTGCTTGACTGAACTCCATCCTAAAAGTGCAGCTTTCCGAGGAGCTTTGCATGCTGCCTGTACCTCTGCTCTTGGGAAGGCCGGGAGGGGGCTTACCCATGGCCTCTTCCTCAAGGCCAGGCTCTAGGCTTGGTTTCACCCCAGCTCTGTCCCTGCCATTGGGTATCCAGCGTGGTGCCGGAGGGTGCCGTGAGGTGTGCACGGCAAGTCCTTTTCCTCCAGTTTCTCTTTGTTTCAGCACATTCTTTTCTTTTTAAAGTCAGGACACTGGGAGAGATTCTACAGCGCAAGGCAGACGTGCTTTCCAAGAGTAATTGCTCTTTGGCTGATGCACAGGAGCTCTGCTCATGCATTTCTGGGAGATGCCCGCAGACTGCTAACTGCTCTGGAAGCCTTTCAGCCTTTGCTGCCTGCAAATGGCATTATTATTCACTAATAGCCTTGGCTCACCATGTTGTCTTTTGGTTAGTTAGCAGCTATTCTGCAAGTCAGAGACAGGGAAAGAGGAACATGTTTAAATGGTAGCCAGCTACTGACCTGGAGGAAACAAACCTGGAGGGTTTTCTCTGAGCGATACCCACCATTAGCTGGGGAGTGATTAGGAGGGCCAGTGTCAGCATTTGGGAAGGGGTGTCTATCCTGCCTTCCATGCTGCTGTTTCTCAGCCAGGTCTCTGGTGAGGAGGATGCAGAGGATGTTCCTGCTGACACAGGGTGATAAGGCAGGCTGAGATAGCTGAAAGAAAGGAAACTTAATGTGGCACCTGGCCCCAAAAATCCATGGCACAGCATTTCCAGAGCTAAACGGCTACCCTTTTCAAAGCACTTAAATGACAGGTATTTGTAGAACTCATCAAAAGTCAAGAGGACTTCATAATGAAGTCCTTGCTGCTTTGTTGTGGGTTTTTTTCCAAAAGGTTAGGGTTCAGGTTAGTTTCATTGTTTCTTTAAGGTTACTTGCTCACCTGCTCATTTCTTTCTAGATATTATAGGATTCTGTTATTTACTGCTCAAGCAATCCCAAGACCTGCTCTACTGACATTTCATGGTATTTAGTATTGACCAAACACTACATGATAAATCTTTATAATACTCCAGAGAGACCATCAAGGGAGCAGTTGCAAATATATACATTGCAGTATGTTGTGTTCTGGGTTAAATGAAATATAAAATCACATCACCAGCCTGGGTACTAATGGCTCTATCAGTATTCCATCATGCCCTTGCTGCAGGTGTGGTGGTTGCCATTAAGACATCAACATTTGTTTATCGCTGCAGATGGTAACTGATGGATCACTCTTCCCCTTGGTATGTGGGGAAGAGAATGGGAACTGCGGTAACATCGGGATCTTGCCCTGGTGAATCTACTGATCCATTGCTCAGACCTCATGGGGAATGGTCAGCACCTCGACAGACAGTGGCACAGACAGTGCTGTGCAGTGGTTCAGCGTGGTCGTACACTGCCGTCCAATACACACCTTGGAGCAGAAAGCATTTTCCAGGCTTTCTGCTCCAGGAGAATGTTCAAGCTCTCGGATACTTCTGGATTGGTTTTGAGTTTTGGGTAATTTATGGCCAAGTTGATTTCGCCATCATTAGCTTTTGTACTTTCAGACAAGGTTTAATTTTCTTTGGAAGATGCAGACGTGTGTACAGCTTGATAATACCCTGTTTATTTTACTGACTAATTCATCACTTAAAGTGCAGGACTATAGGTTGAGAGACCAAGACTATGCACAGTCCCATACCCCTAAATCAGGCCAATAAAAGTTAAATTCACAATGTTTGCAAGCACTTTATGCAGATGGAAAATGTCACCTTGTCTGAAATACTTTATGGCGCGATGCTGAAGCAAAAAGAAATCCCACAGTGAGAGATTAAAAAGCTTCACTAATGCTTAGCTGGGAGGCACACAGCTCTGCACCGCCTCCTCCCCATGCAGTGGGGAGGCTTTCCCGGGAAGTAGCATCTGGCTTATGCTCTGGCTCTGTATGGAACAGCTCCAATGAGCTCCAGTGCCCTGACACTGACCTGGGCATCCTTCAACCCAGTTTGAATGGGATGGATGCAGGAGATGTGGTCAGACCCAGTGGTGAGGTGCTTGTTGGCTGCTGGGCGAGCTGCTAGGGCTGTTGCATCAATTCAAGCTCTTGTTCCACACTAAACCCTTTAGTTTATTGCAGGGTTTGTCGGACAAGGGTTCGGAGAATGCTTTGAAGCGGATGGTTATGCTGGGTAAATCTTACCACTGGGTTATCAAGGGGCTTCAAGCCACCCCTTTGCTGTCTCCTGCTACCCAAGATAGAGCCAGGACAGTGCTACAACCATGGTGGGAGACTAACATTTAAAAAGCAGCTTAAAAATTACAAGAAGAACATGCTTGGAGCAACCTGCTCTAGTGGAAGGTGTCCCTGCTCGTGGCAGGGGTTGGAACTGGATGAGCTTTAAGGTCCTTCACAACCAAAACCATTCTGTGATCCTATTATTCTGTATTATAGAATAATTATTACAAAAATTAATAATAAATCCTGAAAAAGAAGAGCCAAGGGGCTTTTAAAATTAATGAAAAAAGAAACCCTAATTTGAGGGGGTGGCCAATATTGCAAGGATGCAGGAGACAGTTACCTCCGTCTCACTGGGATCATGGTAAGGAAAACAGCAGGAAAATAAGGAGCTGGGGTAGTCCCACAAGGGACAGGGAACACTGTCACTGGGGAAAGAAACCTCTGGTGGTCCCTGCCACAGTGCCTGGGAGAGAACCTGGGGACTGTGATGGCAAGAGCAATGCCAGCCCTGCGGAGGGGCGGAATTAAAGCCCAGCAATCTTTGCTAATATTCAAACTCTGTCCATGATTACAGTATCTCTGTTTTACAGCACCCAGCCATTAGTGACAAGCACTGTGCAAGTCAATTAATGATAATGTCTCTTTCCTTGAGATAAAATAGTTCATTCTCACCAGCGGGATGGGATGCACGAAGAGGGGAGCTGCGCCGCTGCCCTTGATGGTGCACGATGAATAGCGGCGCGAAGCCGCTTTCTTCCGGTGCAGTTGCTGGCTTTGTTGCAGATGTAAAGCAGCACTGTTTGAAGCTGTGCCTCTATAGCTGTTCTGTGCTGTCCTCCTTTGTAATGAAAACTTCTCCTTTTTCATAATTTTTAATTTCAAAGCCATCAGGGGTTAGCTTCCTCAAGGCTGCATCTCAGGGTATGAAGAACGGAGTGTCTTAACTATGCTCTTCCTCTCCAACCCAATGGCCAAGGCTAGTTGGCTTTCACCTTCTATAACAATAGTTTATAGCTCTTGGCTGGTGTTTACCTAGTGCCTTGTCTTACTTTAAAACCTATTTCTAGATGTGAAGCCATTTGTTCCTGAGCTGAAGCACTCGCTGCGAGTTTGGGGGAGGTTTGTTTACTGCAGTAACCAGCTTGCTCCATATGTATTCCCATCACTCTCCCTTGCTATAACCTACAAATCTCTCCAACTTATTCAGCTCAATATTGGAGATGGTTTTTGAAGTCTTCTTTAAAGTATAGTGAGTGCCCTTTAAAATTTTCCCTGCTTTGAAAGATTCTACCTGTTCTAATGCAATTCCCTATTTTAAAGATAGGGAATAAATATCTTGGGGATGGTTGGCTCACATACAGCTCCTATCTCTTGAAACATTAATGGTCCATGCTGTTTGATTCGTTTTGAAAGTACTCTGTTCCTGCTTTGTTTATTTAATTCCTTTTCTCTGCACTGGGACTTGCCAAATGGAGCCACGTCTCCCCCAAACCCCCACTGCCACCCTTTCATTCACAGGTAAATGCAGCTCATTTGGTTTTAGCACTGCCAAGTTTTGTTGCAGAAATCAGACATAAGGTCCCTTGAATTTCAAAAATGGGTTTTAAAACCCTTTGTTGGAGAAAGAAATTCTGCATAATTCCTGGGCTTGCTGTCTGTATTTTGTGCCTTTGAAGGTTCACACTTTCCGAACCTTCATGTACGATCGTGTAAGAGATTGAAACTCGGTTTTACCGTTAATAACTGCTGCATCCCCTGCAATCACACAGTTCCAAGAGGGAGCCACTGCAGGAAATGAGCCAAGTCAAATACTGCAGCTTAACAAACTCCTGAGACTTGGCAACAACAAATTCTGCCCCTGAAAATTGCCTGTCGGTTCGCCTGTAGCAGCTACAGACTCTGGGACAGCAATAGGGGAAGAGGGCACCACGACTGTGCTCAGGGCTGCGCAGGAAAATAAATCACTGCATGCCTGCATTAACTGACCAAGCCTTTGCTAACACAACCTAAATGCTAAAGGCTGGCTTGGACACAACCTGAAGGGTGTATTGTACCTTAAAGGGTTTGCCAAAGCTCAGCACTGCTTTTGCTTCAGCTCCAGGGCCAAGCTTGGGCTGTTTGAGCCCCATCAGTGACAGCCCCCTGGTTTGCCTGTGACTCCACTGAACTGCACAGCCCTGGGTTTATTAGTTGGAGCTGTCTTTCCCTATATTAGAATCATTTGAGCTTGTCCTGTCCTGTGGCTGGTATCCATGGCTGTTTGGCTGGGTGTGACTGATATCTCCTCTAATTCATGTTGAATGTCAGGAAGAGAAGAGCTGGGGGAAGAGGGAGCTGCCTTTGGCCATTGTGGAGTCCTGCGCTTTGGGATAGGGACCCCGCTGCTGCCATGGGCTGGGGAGAACAGGGCTGGGACCAAACCAGTACCCAAGCATCTCTGAAGGGAGCACTGGAGCAAAACTGCTGCTGGTCACACATTGCCTCTGCAGTTCTGCTTCTGGGTTTGGTTTTTGCAGCCTCTTGTGCAGAAGGTGAGTGGGGGCTGAGCGGGAGATGAAGATGATTCAGTCTGTCAGAAATATGGACTGTTGTTTTCTCTGCTGCTGGCCTGCGTTGACGACACCACACAGATGGTCAGGAGATGAAGCGCAGGATGTCAGTGCCTGGTCATCTCTGCCCCATGTCTGGGTGACATTTACAGAGGCTTGCCCAGTGAAATCCTCCTGTATGTATGGTCCATGACTGATGCCATCAACCAAAAGCACATGGGCAGAGACTTGGAGTTTGGAACAGAAGCAGGTACAGGCAAGGGCTTAAGTAACCAGACACATTATCTGGTCAGAAAGGGCTAGCAGACGGGTCACCTGTACCCCCAAAACATCAATCAGTGCACAGAAATCCCCTTTTCTGCCTTTTATCTTTCCTATCTACGAGACATGAGATAGCAGCACAGGCTTGCTGCTTTTCTCCCCCTTTCCTCACACAGGATATATAAAATATATATAATTTATAGCTAATGTATACATAAAACAGTGTTCTGTCTCAATACATGCAGACACAGACGAAGCATGTTGCAGAGCCTGTGGGAAAATACTGTCTGCAATGGAGCTTGCTAATTATAGCAGCTCTAATGGCAGCTTCCCCCCACCCTTCCCAACAGCAACAGAGATCAAAACCTTTTTTTGTTTAAAATATTTACTGTAGGGCTTCAAAAATTTAATCAACGTAACGTGACGTTTCCTTGCAGCAGCCGGGTAATAAATATGCAATTAATAGGGAATTGAAATACACCCATTAGCTGTTTGCAGAGCCTCCGCTTCCCCGCTGTAAAATTGCTTTCAGAGCATTTAATGCTCTGCCTACAGCCTGCGCAGGGAGTGAAACCACCCCCTGCCTCTTGGTGGGGAGAGGACCAAGCGCTGCAGAAGTTTGCAGTGGGAATCAGCCTTGT